TAATGCCCTTTTAAAACAAAAACACTCAAAAGAGGAAAGAGGACATTTCAATATAGTAAGAGCCAGAGATGAATAACCCAAAGCTGTCATTTTAGTCAATAAGAAAAGTCTGAAATCATTTTCTATAAGACTATGAACAAAACAAAGATGCCAACTTTGGCCATTTAGGTCAACATAACATAATGTCCTTGCTAGAACAAATAGTCAAGGAAAAGATAAGAAAAGGCACATACATTCAAAATAGAGGAAGTAAAATTATCCCTGTACACAGATGAAACAGTTTAATATGTAGTGACACTTAGCTTAATGCAGACACAGACACACAGACGCGCACACACACAGTTAGACCAAAAAAATAAATTCAGTAAAGTTGCAGGATAGAAAAATCAACACACAAAAGTTATTGGTTATTGTGCTTATATATGCTAACAGTGAACAACTGAAAAAGCAATAAAACGCTTAGCAATAAGGCAAAACGCTTAAGCAGTGAGGCAAAAGGTTGTATTCCCAAAGTTATGAACTAATTGCTGAAATAAATTTAAGGAGACACAAATACATAGAAAGACATCCCATGTCACTGACTGGAAGACTTAATACATTAAAACATCAATACTATACAAAGTGAACTATAGACTCAATGCAATCTTTATTGAACTTCCAAAGATATTTTTGTGGAAATAGAAAAATTTATCCTATAATTTATTTCAAAAGTGCAGGCACTCTGCATACATCAAAGAATCTTGAAAAGGCAGATTAGAGTTGGAGGTATTAAACCTCATAATCAGAAAATATCCTAAAAGGCTACTCCAAAGTAATTAACACACTGTGGTACTGGAATAAATGTTCAGTCACCAAGTCATGTCTGACTCTTCCCGACCCCATGGACTGCAACATGCCAGGCTTCTCTGTCCCTCACCATCTCCTGGAATTTGCCCAAGTTCACATCCATTGAATTGGTGATGCCATCCAACCATCTCATCCTCTGTCAACCTCTTCTCTTTCTGCTTTCAATCTTTCCCAGCATCAGGATCTTTTGTAATGAGTCAGTTGTTGGCATCAGGTGGCCAAATATTGGAGCTTCAGCTTCAGCATCAGTCCTTCCAATGAATATTCAGGACTGATTTCCTTTAGGATGGACTAGTTGGATCTCCTTGTAGTCCAAGGGACTCTCAAGAGTCTTCTCCAGCACCACAGTTCAAAAGCATCAATTCTTCAATGCTTGGCCTTCTTTACTGTCCATTCTCAGATCCATACATGACTTGGAAAGCCTTGACTATTGGGACCTTTGTCAGCAAAGTGATGTCTTTGCTTTTTAGCACAGTATCTAGGCTTGTCAAAGCTTTCCTGCCAAGAAGCAATTGTCTTCTAATTTCATGGCTGCAGTCACCATCCACCGTGCTTTAGAGCCTAAGAAGAGGAAATCTGTCACTGCTTCCACCGTTCCCCTTCTATTTGCCATGAAGTGACGGAACTGGATACCATGATCTTAGTTTTTTGAATATTGCCTTTTAACCGGCTTTTTCGTGCTCCTACTTCACCCTCATCAAGAGGCTCTTCAGTTCCTCTTTGCGTTCTACCGTTGAGTGGTATCATCCGCTTATCTGGGGTTGTTGATATTTCTCCCAGCAATCTTGATTCCAGCATGACGTGTGCTCTACAACATGCTCAGAATAAAAATCTGTGAGGAAAGTAATTTAAAGCCCTGGCCAATGTCATACACAGTTTTGTGGGGGATATTGATCAGGTAGGATATGTTTTAAGTATTTTTCAATTATTGACATTAGTCTGTTGTGCCAAATCAAAATAGTAACAGACATTCTGAAACAGGTGGGTTATTAGTGTCTGAAGATTTATTAGAAATTAAAGGGTGCCTTATGGGGAAGTCAATGAGTCCCGCATCTAAAGCAGCTCCTGTTTTTCTTTTCTTTCGGACTCTTTTCATTAAGGGACATTGCCTATGTTTTTATGTGTGTGTGTGTGTGTGTGTGTGTGTGTTATTCACTCAGTTGTGTCTGACTCTTTGCAACCCCATGGACTGTAGCCTGCAAGATTCTTCCATCCATAGAATTCTCCAGGCAAGAATGCTGGAGTAGGTTGCCATTTCCTTCTCCAGAGGATCTTCTCGACCCAGGGATCGAACCTGGGTGTCCTGCATTGCAGGTGGATTTTTTACCATCTGAGCCACCAGGGAAGCCCACTTTAGGTAGTGCTGAAAAAAGTAGATGGTGTTAGTTGCTGAGTCATGTCAAACTCTTTGTGACCCCCTGGATTGTAGCTCACCAGGCTCCTCTGTCCATGGAATTCTCCAGGCAAGAATATTGGAGTGGGTTGCCATTCCCTTCTCCAGGGGAATCTCCCTGACCCAGGGATTGAACCTGCATCTCCTGCATTGCAAGCAGATTCTTTACCATCTGAGCCACCTCAGAGGCTCCTTAGGTAGTGTAGGAATATCAAGTCTTGTTTTAATCACATAAATATAAGCAACTATCCTCCAAAAAAAAGCAAACATATAACTTTAAAAAAAAAAACAAAGATTAATGAGACACAAGCTTTTGGTGGTTTTTTCTGGCACATGCCATTCTAACTTACAACCATGAACTAGGAGAAACACTAAGGCTCTGGTTACTGTAGTAACACTAGGGCATGAAGAATTCCTGCCTCCTTGTGGCCATTTCCCACAACAGCAACTTTAAAGATATTGCTTATGTTACAGTGAAGTAAGGGTTTCCTTTTTCTCTTTTGCCTTTTGAGTCCTCCTCTACATTAACTGTTCCTGATCTACAGTCTGAATTGATAACTAAGTGTCCTCCTTTTTACAAGACTAACCTATTGACTGTTTTGAAACAATGCAAAAAGAACAAAGAATGCAGAATCCTTACACCTTTGTGGAAATAAAAAATTTTTGGAGGAAACAGCAAGATGGCTTTAATCCTCAAGCTGGCAGAGTAGAGAACACAGTAGGCTCACGCCTCAGGAACAGTGTCTTCCCCTCCCATGGGGAATTAAGGAGATCATATAGTTAGGGCTCATAGAGGTTGGAGATAAAAAGCAAAAGTAAACAGATCCTGTATTCTTTCTTTTTGCATTGTTTCAAAACAGTCAATATACTGGCTTCAGGTAGCTGGGTAACTTAGGTCTGGCAGTCTGTCTCAGTAGTTGGGTCTACTGTCTTTTGTGGATTGCACTTCGACTTTCTGTAATGCAAAAAGAGGGAAAAAACAAGGGGGTGGTTTGCAGAGAGAGGGCTGTAAAGTTAAGCATCAGGGTGTGACTAACATAAAAGATAACAGATGCAGAGTGTGGCTCACGCAGAGTTAGAAGGCGATAGGTGTGGGATATCCCTGGAGAAGGGGATGGCAGCCCACTCCAGTATTCTTGCCTGGGAAGTCCTATGGACAGAGAAGTCTGGCGGGCTACAGTCCATGAGGTCATAGAAAGTCGGACACAGCTGAGCGACTAAACAACAACCACCTAAATTCCAATGAAATTTTTCACAGAAACAGAACAATCTAAAGATGTGTGAGGCACCACAAAGAACCCAGAATAGCCAAAGCAAATCTGAGAAAGGAAAACAGGCTGGAAGCATCTCACTCCTGGAATGCACATTACATTATGAAACTACCATAAAGAAGTGTGGAATTGGCACAGAAACAGGTACAAAGACCAGAGGACCAGGCTAGAGAACCCAGAAAAGTCCTAAGGGCATGTACTCAGTTAATTCACAAGAATTAAGAAGTCAAGAACATACCCCAGGGAAAGGACAGTCCCCTCAGTAAATGGTGCTGGGAAAACTGAACACCACATGCCAAAGAGCAGCACTGAACCCTGTCCACACCACACACAAAAAACTGGCTACACACAGAATTCTCCACACCAAGTCACTCCTCCCCTGGTCCTCTGAAGACAGACATTCCTCAGCAGTCAACCACGCACAGGCACCGTCTCCCCACTTTTCCTCAATTTTCTTCACTTTTCCTTCAGCAGCACCACCTCCAGGAAGGCCCTGAGGAGACCCAACTTCTGTAAGAGTGAACAGGACCCCACAAAGTCCCAAGGCTGAAGCCCTGGTGGGTCCTGAGGGGACACGGCTCCTGTTAGAGTGGTCTTGACCCCCACACTACCACCCCCGTGTTCCAGAGGCCAAAGAGTCAGAACAGGTTCTGAGGAGATGGGGCTCCCGTCAGCTGTGCTGGCAGCCAAGTCCTGAGGCAGAATGCACATCCCCAGGGCGGCTCAGAGAGGCGGGCTCACGTTCCCTTCCAGCCAATGGGAGAGTGCAGAACAAACCACCCTCACCTGTTCAGTGGAGACCCCACTTTTCTGAGGGCAGTTTCACTGCCTCCATTAAACTGGGGAAAATCAAATTGAAACAGAACCAAATAACCCATGACTTTTCCAAAATTGTTACAGAACAATTAACTGAAAACCATATGGAATGAAATGACTATAAATACAAACTTTAAAATGCAAAACTACCAAAATTACTGAAAAACATAGAAGAAAATCTACATGACATTGGCTTTGGTCTGCAGATCATGAGCATTGAGTTTAACCCACAAACAGCAAGTGCACGAAAGAAAAATTATTGAGGACTTCAAAAAGTTAAAGATTTCTACTCTGAAAGACCTTATCCAGAAAGTCAAAACACAACCCACGAACTGGGAGAAAAATATTTGTAAACTACATACCTAATAAAGGATTTGGACTCAAAATAGACAAAGACCTCTAAAAATAACCCATTTTTAAAAAATGGGTAAGAATGTGAACAAACACCTGGCCAAAAAAGATATACAGATAGTAAATATTGCACAAGAATTAGATTAAAAACATCATACTACTAGGGAATAGCAAGTTAAAATCATGAGATATCACACCACACCTATTCAGTTCAGTTCAGTTCAGTTCAGTCGCTCAGTCGTGTCCGACTCTTTGCGACCCCATGAATCGCAGCACGCCAGGCCTCTCTGTTCATCACAAACTCCCGGAGTTTACTCAAACTCATGCCCATCGAGTTGGTGATGCCATCCAGCCATCTCATCCTCTGTCGTCCCCTTCTCCTCCTGCCCCCAATCCCTCCCAGCATCAGGGTCTTTTCCAATGAGTCAACTCTTCGCATGAGGTGGCCAAAGTACTGGAGTTTCAGCTTCAGCATCAGTCCTTCCAATGAACACCCAGGACTTATCTACTTCAGGATGGACTGGTTGGATCTCCTTGCAGTCCAAGGGACTCGCAAGAGTCTTCTCCAACACTACAGTTCAAAAACATCAATTTTTTGGTGCTCAGCTTTCTTCACAGTCCCACTCTCACATCCATACAGGAGAAATATCAATAAACTCAGATATGCAGATGACACCATCCTTATGGCAGAAAGTGAAGAGGAACTAAAAAAACCACACCTATTAGGACAGCTAAATTCCATATATATGACCATATCAACTGCTGGAGAGTGAGGAACAAGAACTCTCCTTCACTGCTGGTGGGATATACATACAGCCACTTTATAACACAGCTGGGCAGTGTTTTCCAAAGCTAAACAGCGAGATCTAACAATCATGCTTTCAGTATTGAGTCAACTGCTTTGAAAATTTATCCCAAATTCAAACAAGGATGCAATTATGCACTGCAGCACTATTCATAATAGCTAAAATTTGACAAAAAACAAAACAGGATATCCTTCAACAGATTCATGCATAAACAAGGTGGGGTATATCCATGTCAAGGTGAGTAGAATATGCCACCCCAAAATATGCCTCTCTGGCATAAGGATTATTTCAGTCTAATTAAAAAAAAAAAATACAGGACTCTCAGAAAACTAAGTAGCGATTGCCCTTTTGTGAAAGACATTTACAAAAGAGAAATCTCCATATTTAAGGGCTGTCCCTCTTTGCACCAGAAATAGGATAATTAAAGCTCAAGTATCTTATCAATGGAGAAGTCCAGACTTAAATCTGCAACAATCATATGCTTCTTTACTGTGTTTTGCATGATAATGTGTCATAATGGGCTTTCCCCCTTCCCCAAGGTCTTTCTTTTATTTTTATCTGAAGATGGTATTTGAAGTGATGGCTTTGGACATTTCAGGGAGTGACTCAGGTTTCCTGAGTCGCTCCCCTTTATAGAGGAGGTATCAGTCAGTCAGTCAGTTCAGTCACTCAGTCATGTCTGACTCTGCGACCCCATGGACTGCAGCACGCCAGACCTCCCTGTCCATCACCAACTTGCAGAGTTTACTCAAACTCATGTCCATTGAGTCGGTGATGCCATCCAATCATCTCATCCTCTGTCGTCCCCCTCTCCTCCCACCTTCAATCTTTCCCAGCATCAGGATCTTTTCAAATGAGTCAGCTCTTTGCCTCAGATGGCCAAAGTATTGGAGTTTCAGCTTCAGCATCAGTCCTTCCAATGAACATTCAGGACTGATTTCCTTTAGGATTGACTGGTTTGATCTCCTTGCATTCCAAGGGACTCTCAAGAGTCTTCTCCAACACCACAGTTCAAAAGCATCAATTCTTCAGCACTCAGCTTTCTTTATAGTCCAACTCTCACATCCATACATGACTACTGGAAAAACCATAACTTTGACTAGATGGACCTTTGCCATTAAAGTGATGTCTCTGCTTTTTAATATGCTGTCTAGGTTAGTCATAACTTTTCTTCCAAGGAGCAAGCATCTTTTAACTTCATGGCTGCAATCACCATCTGCAGTGATTTTGGAGCTATTAAACTTCTGTTTTTCTCCTGGAGGTGTCTCAAACTCTGACACCATGCTTTTATAAAAGAACGAGAGAATGAAGCTGGGCTCCTGAAGGCCACTCCTTCTGGTCTAACTTGCTTCTATCAGTGTTGCAATGAAAAGGAAAAAAGAGGAATGATTTTCTTTTCTTTCCTGAGAACAAAGAAGATAAAGAGAACAGTGAGCAGGCCTGATCCCTCCAAGCTTTTACTTCACTGTTCCTAAGCTATAGTCTGTAACTAAGCTTGCTTTTCTGCTCCCTAACTCTGCACGGGCTACATCTTGCATCGATTATCCTTTAACTCCATTCTACTTACATCCTGGTGCTTACTTTTCCTGCAGACCACCCCTTGTAGTTTTCTTTCTTTTTGCATTTCAGAAAGAAGGCTGCAGTGCGATAAACCAGAGACAACCAGACCCAATTATTGAGCTACCTGATATTAGCTCTGACTTTTGTGGGTTTTTTGTTGATGTTGTTGTTGTTTTATAATTTTATTTATTTATTATCTATTTTTGGCTGAACTAGGTCTTCCTTGCTGTGTGGACTTTTCTTTAGTTGAGGAGAGCAGGTGCTTCTCCTCATCACAGTGTGAGGGCTTCTCATTCAACTATTGAGCCCGGGAGCCACAACTGCTGCGCCCACATGCCGCAGCTACAGAAGCCCACAAGCCCTGGAGCCTGTGCTCCACCACAAAAGAAGGAACACAATGAGAAGCCCTTGCACCACAACAAAGAGTAGCCCCCACTTGCTGCAACTAGAGGAAACCCATGCACAGCAACAAAGACTCAGCACAGCCAAAAATATAAATAAAATAAACAAAATCAACATTTTAAAAACTTATAGTAAAACAGATAATCAACAAGAACCTACTGTATAGCATAGACAACTACACTCAATATTTTGTAATAACCTATAAGAGGGAAAGAATATGAAGAAAAATAGATATCTATATCAAGACTAGGTCAGCCGGAATGTAAGGGTTGCTGATGGTGACTGGTTCTGACTCAAGGCTTCAATCAACTGAAGCTTGGGCTCTGTCACTGGCCCAAGGCCTTTCATGGATATGCCTGTAAACTGAAAGCGTTAGTCACTCAATCTTGTCAGAACCTTTCTGACCCCACGGACCACCAGGTTCCTCTGTCCATGGGATTCTCCAGGCAAGAATACTGGAGTGGGTAGCCACGTCCTCCTCCAGCAGATTTTCCCAAACCAGGGATCAAACCCAGGTCTCCTGCATTGCAGGTGGATTCTTTACTGTCTTAGCCACCACAGAAGCCTGAACATGCCTGTTCCCATAGATTAAAGTTTCCCCAACTTTGCAGTTTGGAGAGACACTGCTCTGGAAAGTTCCCTGGTGTTCTCCATACTTCTGCAAGTAATACACCTTTCCTTCCCACGAGCTTTGGCTGGGTTGTACCTTCTGGCTCAAGACCCACCAAGAGGCAAACCCACTTTTCTGGTAACATCTCTCCATCCAGACTCCCAACCAGCACTCTTGGCCCCACTTAATAATAATTTCTACAGTCAGTCATCTTGCTTTCAATACATGAAAATAATGTTATTTTTCTATGAGTAAAGCTAGGGAAGGATCAGAAAGTATCCCTATTTTATCTTGTGAAGCCAGTAGGCGTCAAGCAAACTCACCTCTGTGAATCCATTGTCCTCCCACTGGATGCCTCCTTTCATGGAAAACACTTGCAGGGCTTTGGGGTTTTATTTATATCTCATTTCTGAAGTCTTTTAATACCTACATTAAACATACAGATTACTCATCAGTGCCAACTTCTGCTTTGAGGTTAAAAATCCTCCAAATTTTTTCTAATATTCTTATTATTCCATTCGTTGCGTTTAAATCTTTGACCATATGTTGTTCCTCTTGTGTCTCATCAGAATTTACTTAATTACGCAATTTTCCCCTAAAAAAAAAAAAACTGTACTCATCATACACAGTTCTTAGAGCCAAAACTGGATTTTACAAGGTAAGGCACAGGTGAGCCTACGAGAAAGTTCAGGGGCACTACTACAGTCTGGTAAAATTCTAGCTCAGGGTTACAGTCTGGTAAGATTCTAGCTTGGGGCACTGGAAGAAAACATCCAGCCTAAGGTCGCACCGCCCACTTGAGGCTCCAGGACTAAAACGCGATGCCTAAAGGCAGGCGGAGAAAACTAGCGATGAAAACTGCCGAGATGCGCCTGCGCACTGGAGACCTCTTGACAGACACGCTGGGGACCCAGAGCAGCCAATCCCCGAGCGGTGGGGCGGGACCTTCTGCGCGCCCCGCACCCTCCCGGAGCCTACTGAAGGGGCTGCTTCGATCGCAACGCAGGTTGGTGGCTGGTGCCTGACGGGGCTGTACAAGCCGGTTCCTCGCCCTTCCCTTCGCCTCAGCCAGGGAGGACTGGACGCCTCCCAGTTCCGAGCGAGCGCCGGGCCGAGGTGGGCAGCGCCGGAGGACAGCGGGGAGACTGACGGGAGCGCTCCGTGTGCGAAACCCTCGTAAACCCTTAGCCTGAACTCCAAATTCCAGGCTGAGAGGCCCCAAATCCCGTCAGCTTTGAGGAACCCGGGTTCTAACCTGAAGGGAGCTTGCGTCTTCTCAGCTTCATTGACTACAAGTCCCTTCACCTTCAGAAACACCGAATCCTGTAGTGCTGAGGCACCCCCCACCCCCGACCAAATGCCTAGAGGAATCCCAGTTCCCCTCAGCCTGAGGAACCCTAAAAATGGCACCCGCAGAGAGACCAGATTTCCCCAACTCAGAGACCCTGAATACCTCAATCCCTTTATCTTCAAGACTCCCAACTGTCCTGCATGTCAGAGACCTACAGCATCTTAATGAGAGACCCCAGAGCTCCTTAGCTTGAGAGAACCCTGATTTCCTTTTCCTCAAAGATCCCAAGTTCTCTCAACCTGCTCATTCTACATCAGCGAAAAGACCCCCAATCCCCTCCGTCTGAGGAACCCCCAGTTCCCTCAGCCTGTTATGACCCAGATCTCACCAAGCTGAGCAACCTGTCCCTTTTAAGTAGAACCCACATTATGTCCAGATTTTCCTCGAGTCCCCAGGCAGAGAGCCCCAAAACCCTTCTTGGTGAAGTATTCCCTCTCCCACACTGGAGCAGAGCCCTGGTTTCAGCCTGATCCCAGTCCAGCAGTTAGGGGCTTCCAGGTCTCCTCAGGATTCCCTCCATCACCCACAGACACGTCCTTCTGGGTGCCTTTCCTCAGAGAGGCCAAGTTGTAGGGGAACCAAAGAAACCAAATCTAGTTCACATTAGGCTGCTCTGTCATGGCCAGTCAGAATCAGTCCATCCCACCAACCCCTACCCTGACTTTCCCCGCACATTCCTGCCCTGGACACTCCACCCAAGGCAAACAGACCTGGATCTAGACAGTGGTCTGGGCTATCTCAGCATCTTCTTCCACAGGCACCTCGGCCTTGAGGCAGTCCCAGGGCCGTGAGCCCCAACAGGTCCCTGGCAGAGAGGACTGAGGGAGAGGCAGGGAAAACAGAGTGGAAGCCCACGGTGAGAGGTGGAGGGGGCTCTAAGCCAGCTCTATAGGAAGGACACGGAGCTGGTCCCTGAAGGGCCACAGACTGCTTGCCCGCACCACTGAGTGAACTTCTCTGTCAGTGTACACAGTAAGGGAGTGCCTGGTCCTGTCTGAGACAGTGGGGTATAGTGGGGCGGAACAGGACACTAGCATCGTGAAC